TAAAATTATTAGAATACTTAGTTTGGAAAATATAAATTCAGAAATGTTGTCCATATCTACTTGAAATGCATTAATAACTTGGTTCATATAACTTAATTTTTTTACAATTGTTATATTTGTTTAAATTACCCCTAGTATTTTTTTTATCGTAGAATGCTTTCCCTTGTGTCATTATGTGTAACTCTTCATTTTGTTATTAGGTAAAATCATATCATCAAGAATTTCTGTTTACCCTTATACCACCAATGGTAATCGACAAAGAAAAAATCACACGCTGGCATCCTGAATTCGATATTGAAAAACTGCCTGATATAGAAACCTCACCACTACCTGAACCACCTAAGGAAGAGGTATTGCTAACTGGGAAAGATGTGTTGGAGAAAGCTAGACAAATGTTCAATTGTAACATAAGGGTGGAACAAGCCTTACAAAAGCTGAAAGACTTAAAAGACAAAAATGAAGATGGGAAACAGTTAGAGGAACCGAGAGTGACATCTTCTTCTGCTTTGAAAGGTATATTGATTTTGATGGTTTAGAAAAATCTGACCGTAAGGTTTTCATTATGTTTTTTTATAAAATTAAGTGTTTAAAAGCTCACGAAAATTCTGCTTTACATTCAAGAACTGTAAAACTATTCTCAACATGCGTTTCACTAAATATCTTCACGTCATCAAGAAATGATTCAAACTAATTCTTTAAGCCTATGCTTTGCCTAATTATATCTAACAGGTGAACCATCACTTTTAATAAATGTAGGGATAAAAAAATGGCAACAGGGCACAGACTGATAAATGTTACCTTCTCAGATGGGAATTTCAATAAAGAACTGAACGTAATAAAACAAATAGCTGTCAACAATGATTACGATAGCAGTCTAATACATTCTCTATTACCAAAAAAGTTATACAGCCAAGCTTTGAAGAAAGTTTACCCAATTTAAAGAGACAAAAGAACCTGAATCTACTTAGGCCAACCCACTACAAATATTTAAAATTTTGTGCACAACAAAGGTGTGAATATTGCTGTCAAAACCAACAGCAACTTAGACATGCACATTAAGAATAACAAAAATCAAAGTTCAGTTCCGAAAAAATTGGAGGTGAATAAATTATCATGTGGGTCATGTCTGATGTTTTATATAGGTCAAACTGGAAGAACGTTCAAAGTCCGCATAAAGAAACAGAAATAGTTTCCGTAATGGAAAAATATATTTCACATATGCCATTCATTTAATCACAGAGACACATGAGTTCAGCCATTGTTCAGCCAATATCTTGTGAAGGATCAAACTGAACTGAATAATTCTCCATTATTGAATCTGTTTATTTCCAGGTAAGAAAAGTTAAGTATAATTACAGTACTTTCAGAAATTTAATTTATTCATATAGTTAATGAATTTATACTTGACCTTTTCAGGTAGATTCATTCATTACAAAGTAGGCATACAAGTAAATTGTACATTAGAGTATAAAATAGTTGTAATTTAGAAGTAACTTATTATTTTACGCTTGAGAAAG